GGGCCACCCTTTCCGCAGCGGCGGACTCGCAGCGCGAAATCCTGAGTCCCCGGGCTGGGCGGGAGTCACCCGCACCCCCACAGCCGACCGCGGGCCCTCAGCCACATGCAGCTTGGGCGAAGTTTGCCACATCCCGCCGCCCTGCCCCGCGGCTCCCGGCCAGCCTTGGAGGGAAAAGCTGTTTTCTGGAGTTTTCCTCCAGCGTCTGGCTGGGCGCTGTTCTCTCTCCTTCCTCCTGTTTTAGCGCCCACCGAGGCCTCCCGGCCCTTCCTTGGCGCTGGAGGAGAGCAGTGCTCATCTCGAGCTGACATCTGTTCTCACCGGGTCATCAGGCGTATCCTGCCGGTGCCTCCCTCACACCTATCCCAGCCCTCCAAGTTCTCCATGTCAGAGAAAGGGACACCACCCACCCGAGGCCCCAGGACCCTCCCGCATGCCACCAGCCAAGTCTAATTGTTACAGACAGACATGAGCAGAGCAGGGAGGATGGGCCGGGTTCAGAAGGTCACCAGGGCAGAAAGCACCGGGTGCCTCGCAAGGGGCAAAACTGGGAAAACAAAACCTCCTCCCCGGTGTGACTTTCCTGCCCTAGCATATCGCTGCGCATGCAGTTTAGACCCCCTGACCTTTTCCTCCCTAAAGATAACATCTAGGCCTCAGCTGTATTTCAGCTCCAGGCCCAGAAAAGCAGCAAAACTGGACAAGTGAAGCCATGGCTGCCTTAGGACCAGCTGCATTGACTAATGAGCCCCTACCGGCCCCAATCAATCAGCGGAGACCATGACCCTGAAAGAGCACACCTGGAAAGCTGATGAATATGCTATTGAGACCCTTCCCTGAGACCTCCCCTAAGATTTCCACCTGCAAGAGAGAGCAATATTCTCAACACAAAGGACCCAGCCCGAACTCTCCCCCACCCCCCCACCCCAGGGAGTAGGGAGGTCCTTCCCTCCTCTCCCCCACAGGCACCATCTCCTAAAGCTGAGACTTGCAACCAGGGGAGAGTGGGCAGCAGCAGCTCATCCCAGGCTAAACCCCTGAACTTATTTCCGAGGCCCCTTTTCTCTGACTTCCCAGTGAGCCAAAGCAGCCCAGCCTAGGCTCTCGTGTTGCTTTTTTTTACTTAAAAAACAAAACAAAAACACATTTTTATTGATTTCAGAGAGGAAAGGAGAGGGAGAGAGAGATATAGAAACATCAATCATCAGAGAGAATCATTGATTGGCTGCCTCCTGCACACCCCCTACTGGAAATCAAGCCCACAACCTGGGCATGTGCCCTGACCAGGAATTGAACTATAACCTCCTGGTTCAGAAGTCGATGCTCAACCACTGAGTCACACCGGCTGGACCCTAAGTGTGTTTTTGCTGAACTACTAGACAAAATGGCCTGTGATGAGAACGACTGATACTTCACATTATTGTTATTAGTATGATTTACGTATATTCTCATGTGAGCCTCAAAACAGGCTCAGCACTTAATAGGTATTTAATACCCATTTGCTGAAAGGATTTCACAGATGAGGAAACTGAGGCACAAATGGGTTTCCCCATTTACTGAGGGGAAAACGAAGCCTAGAGGAGTTAAGACCACAAAACTGCTCGCTGCAGCTGGTCTCTCTTCTCTCTCTTTTTATCCAACCTTTGCACGCCAGGTCTAAAACACAGACCTGGTTGTTTATTGCACTGCTTCCCCCACAGACCACAGGATAGGGCTTTTTCTCTTCTATGGGCATATTTCATAATTTCGCCCCAACTGACTTCCCATTTCCTGATTTTTCACTTCCTTTCTTTACCCATGATCCCACCGAGCATGTCAACCCTGTCCAACGTCTTTAGTTTCCCAAATGAGCTCAGAATGCCCTTCATTCCCAGACCCCACTTGCCTGGCACACTCCTGCATATCCTTCAGTGCCAGTGCAAATGCCCCTCCCTTTGGCCCAGCCTCCCAAACTGTTGATTGCTGGTTCTCCTGAGCCCCACCCCCTCACCCTCTTGGAGCACCCCTCTGCAGTAGTTCTGAGTGGGCTACATCGTAAGCATTGGCTATCACACCTTTCCAGCTTTGCCTGTGCCTGGCATATGAGAGACTCGGTCAATGTCAGTGAAGTGGGTGGCTGAGTGGCTGCAGAGACAGCAGTGGAGCTGAGAGGCCCTCTTACCCTGGGGACTGCGCACGTATCAGAATCCCAGCTAATCCTATTCTGCAGAACTAGTCTCTCATCTCCTGGAGTGCGTCCAGGACATCTGGCCTGGCCGAGCGGGTCCCTCTTTCAGCAGCCTGGCTCCCCTTAGGGGAGAAAATGTGGCTTCTCAGGGACTAATGCCTCTCACTGCCAACACAGCCCCTCCTGTAGGTACTGAGCAAGCTCTGAATGCATATTTTATTTATTTTTAAATTTTATTTATTGATTTGAGAGAGAGAGAGACATAGGTTTGTTGTTTCACTTATTTATGCAGTCATTGGTTGTTTCTTGAATGTGCCCTAACCGGGGATCAAATCCACAACCTTGGTGTATCAGGACGCCACTCTAACCAACTGAGCCTCACAGGCCAGGGCTGAATGCCCATTATAAGTAAATAGATGGTGATGTGTAAGACATATCTATGTGAGGCATCATGGTGGAGAGGCCCTGGAGGCAGACTGCTTCATCACTCCCTAGTTCTGGGACCTCTTTGTGCCTCAGTTTCCTCATCTGTGAAATCCCTTCAGCAAGTGGATAGTAAGTACCTATTAAAGTGCTGGGCATTGTTTTAGGGGCGAAGGATAAATAATATATATGTGATCACTATATAAACTGAATGCCTATTGTACACTAGGCACTATGATGAGCCCTTTATATTAATTGTTCTACCTGATTCTTATAACAGCCCTATAAAATTACTACTGTTAGATTTGCTGATGGGGAAACCAGGGCTTGGAGGGTTAAGGAAGCTGACTATGTTCACAGAGCTGATGGGTGACTGTTTAAACAGGAGCCTGGGTTCTTTTATATACTTTCCTATATTTTATTCTCAGTTGCTTTTACAGGGACCCAGAAATGTTACATGATTTGCCCAAAGAAACACAACCCGTAAGTGTAAGTGTGGGGACTCAAACCTAGGTTGTCTGACCCCAATTTCAAGGCTTTCCCCTCAGCAAACCCCCTGGAGGGACATCCTCAGTGCCCTCAGGGTGCCAATCTTGAGAAGGGCTGGGGCTAGAACAGGCAACTAGGGGGCCGAATCTGCGTGCTAGACTGATGACAAACTATCTCTGTGAGTGGGGAACCTAACTGAATAAACATGTAAAGAGAAGAATCATTTCTCTTCTAAAAAAAAAAAAAAAAAAAGCATTTGAAAAGTTGAGGGTTGGGCGCCACCTGGTGGGCCTAGACCTTCAGCCTCATCCGCCAAGTCACTCCTTACAAGGAAATCAATGCCCTGGTTTTGGGGAGATATTTTTAGCCTCTGGAATCTTGAAGACATTCCAAGGGGTGGTTCAGCAGACTCTGCAAAAACGTAGCCGTGCACAAAGATCTTGATTCCTCCAACTCAACAAATATGGCCTAAGCACCTGTGGATGCAAACAATCTGGCTGAAGAATGCAGGAAGAGGACCACCTGCCCTCAGAGTGTTGGCACTTTGCTGGCAGGGGAGAGACCGTTGTGGACACAACATAGAGGGATACATGAGAACTACACGGAAAGTACAAAAGGGATGGAGGATGTATGTGTGATGGAAGGGCTGGGGAAAGCTGCAAGAATGTAGTGTCATTTGAAGATGGACAGAGTTTTGGCAAGCAGAGAGGGGGGATGGGTGTTATTGGGTGAGGCGGTCCACCATGGATTCTGAGCATCCCTGGATATCATCACCCGGTATGCCAAGAATGCAAGGCCTCTCTCCCCAGCCAGTCAGTGTTGTGTTTGCGGCCAACAACTTTGAGAAATGAGGGAACAATTCCTCTAAAACACAGAGCAGGCTTGCTTGCTGCTTACTATAAAAGTGGTTTAGGTAAAAGGGGACAACGGTGGGAGTACCAAGCTTGGTACTCCTCCGCTATGATGCAACCCCCCTGGACGTGTAACATCCACTTGCACCGCTCTGTGCTTCTCCCATGAAACTTGGGAACAAGGGGAGGAGAGGGAACAATGGTGCGCATGCTGCTTGCTATGCCAAGGTGGTAGGTCCTTTGTCTCTGGCTCAGCAATCCTGTCTTCCGTCAGCATTTATAAAACAATAGCAGACTAGCTGATTTCGCTGGTAAGCAGTGTGAATGCCAGACCCTCACAGGTGTTCTGAGAGGGAACAGTGTGGGCAGAAGCAGGGCCTAGGTTGCTGAGGGAACAAGGAGCAGTGATACTTGATGGCTACTGTAAGCTCCGATGT